CTGGGGAGCAGCCCTCAAGAGACCTTGGGTGAAGTGGTGTACACTCTCTCACCTCAGGTGGGAAAGTTCTGAGGCCAGAGTTTTTCCCAAGACTCCAGAGTCTACACAGTGTGACAGAGTGACAGCACAGTGTGTGTCTTGGTCCATGCATGCTGCAATAATTAAATACCACAGCCAGGTACTTTATAAGAGCAGAAATGTCCTCACAGTTTCAAATGCTGGGAAGGCCAAGAACAAAGTGCCAGCCAGCCTGGTGTCTGGGGACACTGCTCCTTCTATGACAAGATGGTATCTGCTACTGCATCTTCCCAGGTCAGACTCCTAAAGGACATGAATCCATTCACAAGAGCAGATCCTTCAAGGCCTAAACACCTCCTCAAGGGCCCACTGCTTAATGCTCCCACAATGGTGACTAAGTTTCAACATGATTGTGAAGGACTTTGGACCACAGCACCTGGTAAAACCCACTCCTCTGGCTACACCTTTCTTCCTCTCATCTGAATGCCTTGTCTTCTCTGGTCCCCCCATAAACTACACACAAACATATATACTTGGATTAGGGTCTGTGCCCAGAGAAATATAGTTTAGACATGGTAGAGTGTGTGTCTGTGTATTTATAGCCATTGTTATGGCTTGTGTCTAGATGTCCCTCCAAAGCCTTGTACAGTCATAGGGGTGCTTTTCAAAGGTGGTTGGTTCTAGAGTGTGTGGTGCTGGGATCAAGGATTTGTGATTATTAAATAAATCCACTGATGGGTTTGGCATAGTTCTGGCTAGGACTAAGGGTGTGAATACTCTACTCAGCCTACAGCTGGCAGTCTGCATAAAATATAAGGGAGAGAAAGAGGGATAATACACTCTCACCTGCCTGCTTGCTGTGAACTGTCTTCTCTGTGATACCCCTCTGCCATGCCACCCTTCCTTGGAGCCAGCCAACTATGGACTGAAACATCTACAAACTATGAGGCAAATAAAGTTTTCATCCTTTAACTTTGATGTTGGGTATAGTGGACCTTTGAGTCACAATTGGCCTGACACATGAAAAATTTGGGTTACAACTGGGAGTTTAGTTTTAGCTTATGAAGTCTTGAGTTACAACTGACCCAAATCCTGGCCACTTGTGCTTCTAGATAGTCTCAGACACAGATTTAATCCTTAAAGAGCTCTGGAAAGAACATTATAATATCCTTTTAACATCCTGTGTGGGGTTGAGAAATCCTGGGCCAATGTCTCTATAAGAACACTGAGATCTGCCTGGAAGAAAATGTGACCAAAAATTATACAGGAGGGAGAATTTGAAGGCAGTTAAGCAACTTCAGTTACAACCAGCCCTTGGAAACAAATTGAAATCATAAGCCAAAGGTCCATAGTATTTTGTCTCAGTAACAAGAAGATTAAGACAATCGTGTATGTGTGCGTGTGTTTGTGTGTCTGCGTGTGTGTATATATATATATATGTATATATATACACATATGTATGTATATATATATTATATTTTCATGTTCATGTAGGTATATATATATATATATGTATATATGTATATGCTTTTACAGTAATATCACAGTCCATGAACACTTCTTTTCATAAATAATTCAGTGAAGCATTTGGCAAAATTTTGCTTTTATCTGTAAACTTCACATGGGGTGATGAATAGGAATGTGGCTATTTCCCCCATTATTGTGGAAGAAACTGTGAACCAAGGTACCAGTGTATGTATTTATATGAGGTGAGATAAAATATATAGTAAAGTCTCAACTATATAGTGAGACCTTGTCTCCAAAACAAAACAGGATTAATGGTAATGTGCTTTTACTGTTTCTGTAATTTAAATATTTACCATATATTTCAATCATGTGTGGTACATATATGCATATATGTGTGCACATTCACTCGCAGACATATGTAGACATAAATAGAGGGCCATATAAAATGTAGTCAGCTTCCATATCCATGGGTTCCACCTCTATAAATCCAATCATCCATAGATTGAAAATATTAAAAAAAATATGTCTGTACTGAGCATGTAGACTTTTTTCCTTGTCATCATTTCCTAAACAATAGAGGGCTTACACCTCAAACTTCCATATTCATGAAAGAAAGACTGCTGTGTGACTCTTCCCAGGCCCAAGCCCCTCACTCTGATCCATTTCCCAATGGGAATCCCATCCTTGGGATGATTTGCTGTTGGAGTCTGAAGATCAACTCTCAGGAACGCTAAGTCTGGAGCAAGGCAGAGCATGGAGAATGGAAAGAATATCAAGAGTATAGTGTGAGAAATAGGCTTTGTCTTTTAAGTCAAAGCACAAGGCCCATGCAACTCCATTCAGGTTTAAATAACTTGGTCATCTACTCACTATTCATCTGACTCTGTTAATATCCTGAGCTCCAAGAAATGGTAACTATGTACTTTTTCCCAGAACACAACCAGTTTCCAAGATAACCAAGAACTCCCCACAGCAAACTGCACACCCTCTCTCTCTAATAACCCCACTCACAATAAGAACTAAGAATTTTGCATTCCATACCACATGACTCCTTCTAATTTGCTCAGCAACACTCCCTCCCACTTCATGCCACTCATGTTAGTCAAACAAAATAGATCATAAGCCTTTGAATTCAGTCAATGCATTTAAAGGTCAGCTGCTTCTCCTTTACTAGGGATAAAAGGGGAAACCCTCTTTTGTCCTGTTACCTCATGCTTGCACCCTTCTGCAGAAAATGCCTTGTGGAGATTTCTTGATGTACTGACAATCTGAGTCTAAGGGCTTATTTCAAACAATAGTAACAGAGGAAATTGTACTGTAAGCCTAGAGGAGAGGACAGAGACTATGTATCTTGGAGAGAACTAACCTTTGGATTTTTCTTTTGCAATAGAAAATGAAAGCAGGACTTCCAGGGGCCTGAACCCAGGCCAGGCATTTCTCTAGGTGGACATCAAGTTTTAAAGCAAATGAAACTTGAACATTTCAGAATATTGAGTCTCTGATACTTGAACTCAAGACCCAAGCTATATTCCAGTGCTCTGGGATATCTTTGATGGATGTCATGATACAGACACAGGATTTCTTTTCTCCTGGACACTTTCTACCTTTTCTCCTGGAGTGCAGGTCAGTTGTCTGCCCTTGCCCCAACTTTATCAAAAGGCCTATTTGTTCAGGTGCATATGTACAATGACCTATCAAAACTGCTTTGTTTTTGCTCAACTAATTCCCAAAAGAATGAAGCTACTAAAATAATAATTATTATTATTATCATAAAATGTTTCAGCTATCAATATGGAAGAAATAGGCAATGATAGAAATCATTTACATAAAGTACTATGAAGCTACTTACTTATGACCTGTAAGAAAACATGGAAGTTCAGTTGCAATATTTAGTTATGTTCATTGTAATTAGTAAATTGCTCTTGAGTTTTATTAAGTACTATATATGTTTTAAATTAAGATACACAATATATTAACCTCCCTCCTTCCTGCTCTCTTCCTCTCATCCTCAGTACAACCATTGTTGTCATCATCCAGGGGTGCTTTCCTCTGGGCCCCAAGACAGTAAGCCTATGCTAAAGAAAGTGGGAAAGGTCTTAGAGATGACAGCTGGCAAATGACAGGTGCTGTGATTATGATGACCCTCATGCAATTCTGCTGTGGTGAAATTAAGACGCTAGAGTTCCCCATGTATTTTCTTTTTAATATTCTAAGATTTGGAAACACCCCAATTGTCAATCAACTGGAGATTTGACAAAGATGTGTGTGTGTGTGTGTGTATGTGTGTGTTTTATAAAATGGAGCACTATTCAGCCATAAAGAACAAGAAACTAGAGATATTTATAGCTAAGTGGATGCACATTGAGGCCATACTCTTAAGTGAAATTAATAAGACACACATGTGTAAATACCAATTGCTTCTCTGGTGTGGAAAAATAAAAGTGTAAATAAGGATCAAAATATATAATTGATATTGTATTATAGAAAGAAAAGGTCTAAAAGAGTAGAGGAAGTGGGAGGGGTAAGGAAAAGGTAAAAGGGAGAAAGAAAAAATATGTGAAAAGGGAAAACATGGAAATAATGTCTTTGTAAATGGAAGGATGGAGGAGCTGAAGGGAGGGCTGGGGAATGGCGATAAACAAGAACAAAGGTAAGTCATGTAAAGGTACAAGATCCCAGTGATGAATATAACTTTACTGTGTACCTAAAATGTACCAATAAACTTAATAAAATCTTTAAAAAATAAGATGCATACTGAGTCACCAGAGACTTGAAGAATATGTGTTCTTTATCAGACAAGATAAAAACAGTAAAGGACTGTACCAACTCCCTACTGTAAATAATCTGCTCAAGAGCAGATTCCCACCACACTACCCATGATTGCTCTGCGAATTTAAACACATTAATGAAAAGGTCACTTTAAAATTGTAACCTAAGCAAGGTTCCTCTTCTTCCTAAACTCCATGAGAATAACCTCAGCATATAAAAGACAGAGCTTACAAAAGTAAGTATGTGGCCCTGCCTCACTAACCCTCCTCTGTCCTGGAGCCAGAATTTATGGACAATTTCCTCCTGCCCATCCTCCACACTCCCTGGTGAGCCCTCACCCCATTCCCCACGGAATACCTATCTGATTTCTGTTTGACTGCAGCAAACCCAACACTGCCCCAGCAGGAATATCATCTGCCCCAAGAAACAGAAATCCACAGAATCCCCAAAAGGTGTCAGCATGGGAACACGGACTGCACTCCCTCATGCTCCAGAGCACTGGTCACTAGTCCTAAGCAAGGTTGCTTTGCGGGGGATCTGGGAAATGCCCGCTGACCCTGCTGGCTATAGATGGAGCTAAGCATGGAAGCTAGGGCTGCTGCTACACATCCTGCAAGATATACACCAGTCCCACCACTCGGGGTGACCCAGCCCAGTGTCAATAGTACCCAGGCTGAGACAGCTGCTTGGAGACAAATAAACAGCCATGAGCCCGGTGACTCCAGTGACATGCACACAGGACTTACGAGGCAGGAACACTTGGTGCACTTGCTCCCTTCTGGCTGAAACTCCTCTCCCTCTTCGTACTGCACGCCTTCAAACACACAGCCTGAAAGGCAGAGCAGAGTTCTGAACCAGGCAGGAGCAATATCCTTGTAATTGGTCTTTTCCGGCCTGCTCACCCATCCCTCACCTCCAAACCAGCCACCCAGCAGTGTCCTCTCGTTAGTGGGCAGCACTGGTGCACAGTAAAATAGAGTATGTGAAGGTCGGGGTGCTGGCATGGGACCAGAAACCCCAAGGATGCTGGAAAACAGAGGGCAGTGGAGCCCAAGTCAGCCCAAGGGTGAAGAGCAATGCAATAAAAGGAGCCCCATCAGACCCTCCTGGAGCAGTGTCACTATAACTCTGGACACTGCAGGAACCTAAACCCCAGAAGGACCAGGAAAGACCAAGGGAGGTCAAAGAAGGAGTCAACCATGGGATCAAGAGCAGATGCTAACTTTTACCCCACACACCTGAGCCCCTCCACCTCCCCAACAACTCTACAGAGCAGCAATGACATCCCTCTCTCCACACATGAGGAAAATGCAGCTCTAAGTGGAAGTAATTTACCCTGCTCCCAGGTGGCTGAGCTGGGATTCAAACTCAGTTCTAAACCTTCCTTCTGTGCTATAGAGCAAATCCAGCACAAAGGCAAGAAGGTACAGAGGAGGGATCAGCAGGTGACTCCCATGGACTGCAACCCCATCAGGGTGTGATCAAGGGCTCTAACTCCTACCAGGTCTGGCCAATGAAAGGATCAAACACCAGGACCTGAGACCTTATCAGAAAGATGCCTTCAAGTCACTGACACATTCTAAAGTGATGTCACAAATGACCTGCAGTACAGACTGGCTGCTAACTCCATGTCATATGGGCCATGGAGGCCATGGATTACTAGCAAAGCTACTTTCCCTAGGAATGTCCTCACAAGACACTTGGCCAGAGGGTGGTGAGCTGTCCATGGGCGCTTACATAGTACACAGAAGTGTCTAAAGTCCATCAGTTAAAGCTGTGGGCAGAAGCCCTCCACTCTTGGAGCAGCTAGGTCTTGACAGGAGGAGTAGATGCTACCCCACCTGCCCCATCCTCTGTTCAACAGAAAGATGTACAAACAAGTACTGCTGAGTCTGGATCAAAAAATGAAGTAAAACTAAATTTTAATTCATAAAGATCCCAGGTGACTTGAAGCAAAATGTTCGATGCATTGAGAAGGGAAAGGACAAACTATGTGATAGATATGAAATAACTGCATTATGCAAATAATTAGTATATAGTACTTTTAACGAGTTTTTGGTCTTCATATGAGCTCATGGATAACAAGCTTCACAGAAATCCCACTGCAAAAAGGAGGACTATGCAGGACACAAGGAAGGTCAGAAGTGGTAGAAACTGTCCATCCTTGTAATTCAAGACTGAATTCTGAAAAGTACTTTAGTCCATCATGTAGAGGGTCTTATGTCTGTAGAGCACTCCCTGGGGCCTTTGCCACTTCACAGTAGGCTTAGAGAACAGCAGGGCCTCAAGATCACCGCATAAAGCAAAGTAGTGGTGGTATCATCACCAGAGAGGAAGAGCACTCAGAGAAAACCCTGAATGCAGAACACCCTTCCTAGATGATCAGTAAGTGCTTAAGTGATCAGAGAAAGCTCTCACCTCAACACCCCCAGGCTTATGGTAAAGGGCAAGAAGAGCTACTGGAGGCATTTGTATTCTCATTCAGGAAAGTGACAGGAAAGATTTGGCCAAGGGTAAAAGAAAGGCTCTTTACTGTCAGCGAGGCAGGAGCCTTTCTACAAAAAGCAATGAGTCCAACCTCTGCACCCATATTGAAAAGGGCACTGACAAAACCCTAAACTAAATTTATGTGGGACACAGCTCCATTCTCAGAAAATATCTGGTCACCTCATAACCAAGGTGAGCTCTGGCCAAAGCACTGCAATACAAAGTAGTAAAAAGACATTTTGGGAAGCAAGGAGAAGCCACCACCTCACTTTCAAAGTAAGCATTATTTGGGGCCTGGTAGTGGAAAGCAGGCCTTTAGTCCAGAGAAGCCACCAGCCAAGACCTACAGCACACTGCCCTTGTGCTAGGCACACCTTTGTAATCCAATTCAGGAAAGGGAGAGGAAATGTTCTAACCACAGACAGCTTCATGAAAAGGAGGAGGAGCACACCCTCTAGAGCCATAGGTTCACAGAGCTTGAATGAGGAAAATCCAGCAGGGAAGACAAATGGTGCATCCCAAGGGACACAGAGATTTCAAAAGTCTTTCCATGCCCCAAGGAGCCTTCTGGCCTCCCATATGCTGAGGATGATACCTGGACAGGTTGGGCAGCAGGCTCCTGGGTGTTCCATTGGGTTTCCACAATGAACAACACAATGCAGCTCAGACTCTGTGACAACGCCTTCCTACAAAAGAAAAGGCACAGTCAGCCAGCCCAGGACTCCTGCCAAGGAACTACAACTCCAGGAAAGTATCAAAGAGAAGAACCTAAACCCACAAAGTCAAGCTGGAGTGGACTTCAGGCTCAGAGGGAAGCAGCACAAATGACCTAAGATCTGCTTGTTCTTAGCTACTCATGCTTGGGGTCTCAGAGGGCGAACCCTGTCAGCCTCTCTTTTTCCTGACCTTCCATTCTCTCATTGATCTTGCTTGCTTTCTCTTAGATCTAGTTTTGAGAATTTCTTGTGGTCCATTGGTAGCTGACAGTCTAGATGCTCATTCACAGTTGTCTTATGTTTTCTATGCTGCCGGTATTTTCTATCATTGTTCTTACACTTACATCATTAACTCTGAAGCATGAAGTGTGGTACCCTGAATCATACCCAGATGTCCCTGTCTGTAGGCCAGCCTGGGATCCAAGCCCCACAGTGGAGTGCCACCTGTAGCAGACCTCATCCATCTGGCCTTGTTCCTGGATCTAGAAAAGCTACTTTGTTCTCGCTGACCCTGGGGGCAAACTAAGATGAATAACTAAGAGACACAGAATTAGCTTAACATGTGGGCAGCCAGAGGGCTCTAGCCTGTAGTAGGCAGAGGAGCTCCTAGCCTCTGACTCATCTTGCCTTTGTTCACCCAAACATGGAGCACAAGAGCAATCACAGTAACACAAGATTCATCTGCATTCCAATATCCATTAGTACACACTCTGGTAAACAATTTATCCTCAGCTGTCTTAACTTACCCTTAATATGCAATATGCAATCTCCCCTGAGTGCAGTCCTTTTCCTTTGTGCTCAGAGAGAAGGCTAATTATGCCTTAATTCTCTGGTCTCTGCCAGCATAAATGCCATCTTAGCTAAAGATTAAGCCCACCCTCTTGAGAAAGCAGGAAAGGCCTGGAGTCATCAAAAGGACAGCACATATTCAGGAAAATGGTCAGGAACAAACACCAAGTGTGAACATTCCAGGTAGAAGAGATAGATGATTCCTGTAAAGATTAACCATAGCCCTACACTTTGTCATGGAAATGATATTCCTATAGAGAGTAACCACAGCTCTGTACTTTGTCACAGAAATGTCAGCCTCATCTTGTGCAAACTGTATGTTCTGTTCCTTTCTTCTAACTGCCATATTTCACTTCTGTAATTTTGCTTGCTTCTGCCCCACCTAGAAACATATAAAACCTTCTTGTACTCTGGGCTTAGGGTGCTCTCCAAGTCATTGCTTGGAGGGGCCGTCTGGCCAGACTAATAAAGGTCTATTTGACACCATTCTTGGGTGCAGCTCATTCAGTTCCTCTGGGGTGTTGTTTTGCTGTCACTGATAGGTAGTTCTTCAGAACATTTGGTTAAGATCCCTGGCAGTTTTACATTTGGAGGGCCCCGTGAGACATGATCTCCCTACTCCACCCCACCTAGTCCCACCAGGTCCCAGCTGAAATTCCATCAGATGAGACAGACCTGAATGACTCCAGAGGTAAGGGTTTGTTTTGGTTGTAACATTTTGGTTGTTGGTTATGAGGTGGCTGATGAGCCAGTAAATGCCTCCTCCAACCCAAAGCTCCTGATGGGGAATAAGGATAGGAATTTTTCATTTGCATTTGAGTTGACTCTTATATTTGAAGTGTCTGAATAAGTCTCAGTGTTCTTGTCTATCTTGTGTTTGTCTTACATGTTGGTGCAGCAACTTACTTTTTCATTTCTCAGGCATCATGGGAGGATCCTGCTCCATCGGATCGACACCATTAGATTGTTTTCTCAGTAATTTTAAATTGCTTTTTTCCACAGATAAAGAAGATGAATATGGAGTATTAATTGTTTCAGAACTTTTCCCTTCAGTCCCACTCTTTCCCCTTTGGGAGTTGGGGGGGCATTATATTTATATCCCCTTTAATACTGCAGACCTGTATAACTGGAAGAACCAAAACCCCCCTTTTCAGAAAAGCCCCAGGCTTTGATTGATCTCTTGGAATTTGCTGCATTGAACAGGAAGGAAAGGGATAAGTGACACAGCCCATGTTGGGCCTCAACCTGAGTCCCAATGTAGGGAGTAGCTGCCCACCTCCTCGGAAGGGGAGAAGTGCACCCCCAGGATTTTCTGGGTTCCCTTTCTAAGATTCAGAGGCCAGCATGCTGGCAGTGGACCACTCGAACCTGGGGCAGAGACAGAAGGCAGGTGTATGAATAGAACTGTCTATTTGAATGGTGAGATTCCCCAGGCAACCCCTAGTTTGTTTCTCATTTGTTATTGTGCTTTGAAAGGGGCCCCAGGGAAGGAATGTGTTAACTTCTTGTGTGACTGTGTGTGTGAAAGAGACTTGGTTAGGAGATGAATAGAATGAGCTACAAAAGCCATCAGTAGCCTTGTCTGTGCACTAAAACAAAGGTTAGGGGGCTCTTGTGCTTAAAGAGCCCTCCCAGCATTGCAGAACTTGTGTGAGTCAGTCCTGTGAGTCTGTGGCCATGCTTAGAAAAGGCAAAACACAGACTTTTGTGACAAGAAACTCTCCTTTGTCCGAGTGGGCCTGTGTGTAAGAGCTGGGAAGCTCACAGCTAGGCTAACAAGTGAATGAGGCCATTTTCTGGAATGGTACCCCACCCTTCATTTGTCTTGCAACACTGGACAAGGGAATATCTAATGGTCATGGGGAATGCTAATACTAAACCAACTGTTCTTAAGTACATGATTCAGAATTTTGATAAAAGCTTTGTGGGGGACTATGGGGTAAAATTAAGACCAAAAGATGCTCAGAAACTTTGTGAGTTGTCATGGCCTCAGCTAAGCCAGACTTAGCCCCCAGAAAAAAAACTTTAGACAAAAGAAAAGTTATCTCCCTTTGTTTTCACCTGAGACTTTGACAACTTGGAGCTTTGTGTGCTCCAGGAGCTGCTCAAGCTTCTGCTCTGTGGTAATCAGCTGCTAGTGAGAACTATTTAGTTTTGGTCTTAGAACAACTGCTTGCCAAATCTGCTGTTTTCCCCATGGTGAACTTGCCTCTCTCAGAAAATGTGACATTGTTGCAGGCAAATCCCAGTGTTTCCCCTTTGGAGGAGGTTGAGCTGCCTCCCCTTTCACTTGAGTTGCTAAGATCAAAGGTGTGAAGGAGGTGGGGGAAAAAACAGAATTGTTTAGCTTTACTGCACTGGAGGGTGAAGATGGGAAAGCATGGTTGGACTCAGAGAAAATGGAACAGGGCTTGCACTCAGATAAGAAAGAACTAAAATGAGAAAATTAATCTTTGATGGATTAAAAACAGGTAGACAAACTCTGAAAAACATATAATAGAGAAAAAACTGCAAGCCAGAGAAACAGCAACTGTGTTTTACCAGACATCAAGAGATTTTTACAAGAAATGTCAAGTTAGAAATTTTAACTATTTGATAAATGTATCTGTTTCAACTTGAATTAAGTTTAATTGGTGTGCTTAAAACATTTCTTGTGCATTGCAAATTCTTGAATTGTGATTATAGGATCAACTTTCTCTTTTCTGTACTTTGTTGATTAAAAACTCAAAGTTAATACTGTTCTATAGGCAGCCAGTCAAATTTTAAGAAGTTAAGAATCTGAGGACAAAAAAAAGTGACACTTTAAGATTTTAACAACTGAAGTTTGTTATAGAAGGTTAATAATAAATGAGACATAAAAAATATTAGAAAAGCTATGGGTAAGAGAGATATACTTTTGATATGAAAGGATTTTGTATGTTTGTCTTGTTAGAAAGATATAAAGAAAGATATACAAGACCAGAGGCCTAAGTATGTAGAGAAGGTGTTTGTTGGTTTCAAGTTTGTTACAAAAGGTTTACTTTTATACTCACAAAGAGCTTTCATTCCTCCTGATTCTAATTCTACAACAGATTTCTGTTAATTGATCTGCAAAAGTTTTGACTAATCTTAACTAAAAAAGATTTTAGGGCTGGGGATTTAGCTGAGTAGTTCTGCCACCTGCCTTGCAAGCACAAGGACCCAAGTTCAATCTCCAGCACCAAAAACAAAAACAAAATAAAATAATAAATAAATAAGAGAGATTTTATAATTCAATTGGCCAAATACATTTGAGTGCATTATAGTATCATAAATTGTCTTATATGTTTGTGTCTGTCCAATTGTTTGAAAAGTATTTGTCCAATTATATTTTGATTGAAATGACAGCCAGGATACTAATGATTCATTAATTTCTATAACCTGGTTTTATAAGTTAAAATTTTGTCAAGATAATTAAATAAACTTTTAAGTCTAGATAGACTCCTGTTAATAGCAAAAATGACAGCTGCTCAGAAAAATTTATTCTGGTCTTTATTCACTAATGGGAGCCCCAATAGTTTCATAGCCTATGGGAAGATACACTTCCAACAAACATCACTAAATATATTGCTATAAAATGTTTACATTGGTTATCAACAAAGGGTTGGATTCTAAATATGTTATTATGATATGTTTATAATAGTCATTTTCAAAATATGATGTTTTCTGTGGAAAAAGAGTTATTAAGATGTTTTATTGGAAAAATGCTTTTGATACCAAAATAGATTAAAGGGCATGAAGTTTCATACATAAAATTATGATTATTATTGTTAATTTTCTGATGTACTAAATGAATAGAAACTTCACAGGTTATTAAACTATTAATGTTGCTTCAAGAGGCAGAATATAAAGTTTCATGGAAAAGGCTCAAATTTGTGTACAACAAGTCAGACATCTAGGATTCAAAGTTTCCAAAGAAATATGCTGCTTGGGAGATAAAAGGACTTGAAAGCAGATGAGAGAATTTTTGGGCTAACAGGTGTTTGCAGGATCTGGATTCCATGGCTTGCAGACATAGCCAAACATCTATATGTATGAATCTTTAAAGGGCCCAGAAGGACAGTAATTATTATAGGGTGAAGAGTAAGAGTCATCATTTAAAGAGCTAAAACTAACTCTCTCTGCTGCCCCCTGTGTCAGGGATCCTAAATGTGACCCAACCT